TTCATACATCGATTTTATATCTTGGAACTTCACTGAAGTTGTTTATCGGTTTCAGGAGTCTTTCAGTGGAGTCTTTAGAGGATTTTCCAGGTATAGAATCCTATCGTCAGCAAAAAGAAATAGTTTGACTTCTTTTCCTATTTAGATGCTTTTTAACTTCTTTCTCTTGTCTGATTGCTCTGGCAAGGACTTCCATTACTGTATTGAATAGGAGTAGTTAAAGTGGGCAACCCTGTCTTGTTCCATTTCTCAAGGGGAATAGGTTCCAGCTTCTGACTATTTGGTATGGTATTGGCTGTGAGTTTGTCATAGATGGCTCTTACTATTTTGAGGTAAGTTCCATTGATGCCTAGTCTGTTGAGGGTTTTTATCATGAAGGGTTGTTGGATTACATTGAAATCTTTTTCTGTCTCTGTTGAGTTAATCATGTAGTTTTTGCTTTTAATTATGTTTATGTGGTAAATCACATTTATCACTTTGCATACGTTGAACAAGCCTTGCATCCCAACTTGATCATGGTGTATTAGCTTTGATGTGTTGGCAGATTCGGTTTTTCTCCTCCCTAACACTGCCTCCGTTCTCCTTTTTCCCCTTTGGAATTAAATTCCCTGAAGCCACTGTCCCTGCTTGCCATCCTTTAACTTTCTTATTTCATTATCTCTTAGAGCCACTGCCTCAGGACTCCACCCCTGCAATCCATTGCAGCTGCTTTTGTCAAGGTCACAGTGACCTCTGTATACAAAACTCACTGCTTCTCTGAGCTCTCATCTAACTTGTTTTTTAAAAAGGCTTCCTGGTTTCCCCTATAAACAGTATAACACACACATACCCTGGCCCTTCACAATCCCTTCTTTGCAATTATTGTACCTCTTTCTATTGATTATTTCTACTTATCTAATTATCTCTTTAATGCTTGTTCTACTGTATCCCAAATACCCACAACAGTATCTGGTACTCAACAGCGGTTTAGTGAAGAAAGGATAAATGAATGAATGAATGTATGAATGACTTCCATGCCAATTTGCTGCATGTACTGAGCTAATTTACTTAAAGATCACACTGGCATTGTTTTTGCTTAATATTCTAGAAATAAGTTATAAACGTACATGGTATAGTATGGTGGTTAAAGTACCCAGACCCTGGATTTGCAAATATGAATTCCAGTACTTTCTATCATGTTCAAGTTAATTAGCCTCTATGAGGATCATTTTGCTTCTCTATTAAAATGGAGCTAAATGCTAATAAATGCTTTATAGTAATGTTTGAGGATTATATGATTAATTCCTGTGAAATGTTCAGCAGAGCTCCTATAACAATGTAAAGTCTCTAAATATGTTACAAATCTTAATTATTATTATTATTTAAAATGGGCAGAGATAATAAAAACAAAATACTGATTAATCATGCAAAGTATAAAAAATTTTATTGTTCTAAATCTCATGTTGCTGAATAATCCTGATAGAAGGTAATCATATAATCTTGAGATTATTATAAACGAATGGCCTATAGAAGTGGGAAAAATACCTAAGACAATATTTTCTAAAGCATATGGCAGAAACCACTAACTTAATAAAATACTAAGCAAAGGGGTTGGGGATAGAGAGATTTTACTGTCAAGTATACTTAAGAAACACCACTTATTACATGCTCCTTTTGAAGATTTAAAAGCATATTAAGGCCAGGCATGGTGGCTCATACCTGTAATCCCAGCACTTTAGGAGGCCGAGGCAGACAGATTGCCTGAGGTCAGGAGTTCGAGACCAGCCTGACCAACATGGTGAAACCCTGTCTCTACTAAAAATACAGAAGTTAGCTGGGTGTGGTGGTGGGCGCCTGTAGTCCCAGGTACTCGGGAGGCTGAGGCAGGAGAATGGCTTGAACTCGGGAGGCAGAGGTTGCAGTGAGCCAAGATCACACCTTTAATTCTAGCCTGGGTGACGAGAGCAGAAACTGTCAGGAAAAACAAAACAAAACATATTTAGGGCTCTGAGGAGCCTGAAGTTAAAAAAATGCATTTAACCAAGATTCTCAACTTTAACTACATAGAAGCTTTTCTTTTTATTACTTTTTTGGATTGCTTTTAAATTTAATTTTTTTTTAAATTTGCAAAATTACTTTGTGAAATTCACCTAAAGTCATTAGGCTTCTAGAGTCAGAACAATGGAACTAGAAATAGTATGAGTGGTTAATTCTATCCACATTTGTGTAGTCCGTCACGTGTTGGAAGCACTCCCGTTTACCCAACCTCCCTTCCTAAAACCTGAGATTTCTTTCATTCCTCATGCTAGTCGTCTAGTAAGTCTTGCATGTACTGTTTCCTAAAACCTTATGAAATTTGTCTTCTTATTCTCACAGTTAGAAACAACATCTCTTGTACAGACCTCCACAGTAGCCTACTTCCCAAACTTCCCAGCTTCAGCTTCAACTTTCAATTCTGCCTGAATACTGCAGTCAATGAAGTATTTTCATATGCAAATCTTGTCATTTTTTTTCCTCTTTAAAACTGATCACTGCTCCTTATGACTGACAAGGAACATCCTAGGCTTCTTAGTAGAGCATGTAGGTTCCCTTGAAGGTTTTTTTCTCAGTTTTGCCTGGGTCTCAGAATTGAACTTGTACATGTCATCTCAGAAAAGAACGGTTTAAAAGTTTGTCTCATTCAGACTTACATAGCTGCATTTACCATGGTGAGCCTTTGGCTTGGCTCCTTGGCGTTGACTGGCATAGCGTTCTCTCAGGGAACATTCTTGGCTTCATTTTCCCAGTCATTCCTAAATAGGAAAATTATTTTCTAATACAAGTGAGTGAGTTGACAGTGTTTGAGCTGTAGATGACCCCAGCTTTTGTGTCAGAATAGGAAGCTAAGACCCTAAAGTTTTCTATGATTGATTCTTTCTTCATTCATTTATTCCTGGTTGCATTAAGGAGACATTCACTGGGGGGTTATAATATTCCAGGAACTTTTCTAGATGGTAGGGAAAGATGAATAGCACTCAGCCGTTGTCTTTGGGGAGCTCACTGTATAATGATGAATAAATGTTCTAAATAAAGTACAAGCAAAACTCCCAAAGTCTCTTCAGTTTACAGAATCTGGTAAGCTAGGGCAGAATAAACAGCCCACAATAAGAATACTTATTATAGCACAGTCTAGTTGCCTTGGAATCATCTTTTTTGCCCCATTTGGATTATTAAACTTTAATAACACTTGGTGCAATCGATATTCATCAGCAGGTGTCTAATATTGATATCATTTCACAACTTCCTGACAAGTGTGTTTAGTAACATTTTTAGAAAAAGAAAAAAAAACTTGAATCTTTTTCATAATTAGAAAAGCCTATTTAAGTTTACCCGTATTCCCATTATTTTTTTACTCAAGAAATATTTTTTAAGGCTGGGTGCAATGACTCACGCCTGTTATAGCAGACTCTGGGAGGCCGAGGCAGGTGGATCACTTGAAGTCAGGAGTTTTAGACCAGCCTGGCCTACATGGTAAAACCCCATCTCTACTATAATACAAAAATTAGCCAGGCATGGTGGCACATGCCTGTAATCCCAGCTACTCAGGAGGCTGAGGCAGGGGGATCACTTGAACCTGGGAGGCTGATGTTTCAGTGAGCTGAGCTTGGGCCCCTGAACTCCGGCCTGAGCTACAGAGCAAGACTCCATCACACACAAAAAAGAGAAATATTCTTAAGTACCCACTATATGCCAAGCACTGGTTTGGCATTTATCTTAGTCTTTTTTTCTGGAGAAATCATGCAGTTTTTTTGTAGATATTTTAGGAGCACAGCTTAAAGGGTTTGCTTTGTCATTTTATCTACAAGTATACTTTGAAGTTCAAGTCATTTTTCTTTGATCTTCTTCAGCTTAGTAGTGTCAATTAAAGCTTTCCAATGAATTCTACCAGAACAGAGCCATTGTCTAGGATGCTCAAGAAGAGTCAGTGCCATGAGAATCATTGGCCCCTTCTCTGTTGAAGCTGTGGACCATCCTCACTCTATTGTGTTTAGGGTCCAGATGGAAACCAAGACATTTGATAGACGTCTATTGGCATATGTCTGACTGTTTAATCCCTTAGGAAGACTGTGATTACTATTTTCCCTTCCCATTATCAGTTGCCTTTTCAATTCACCAGATTCTAAAGCTGATGGCATGTGTGGAGGGTTTGCTAAAAGCAAAGATTTCTTGTACATACACACAAGTGAACATACACCTATTTCCCCACCCTTAAATTAAAGGCATATGTTCACCAGGAGGGGAGAGAAGAGGTATAATGATCTTATGTAATAAAGCAGTAATAGTAATCGTAATAAACTTAACCGGTCCCATCCAAGAGGGATATGTTTTTGTCTGATATGCACCCAGCTGTAGCAGGATTGGTACCAGCTTGCATTTTAATAAATGACAGATTGCTGTTAAACTAGTTGGCAAATGTAAAACTTTGGAATAATATATAGCTAGGCAGAAAGAGAAGGGAGCTTATTTAAAAATTGGTTCCACTTAATGAAAATTGACTTTAACTGGGATTTGCTTTAGAATTTCTCCCTCAAGATTTAACTACATCCTGATGGAATTCTGTGTATTTAGAACATTAACAAAGCTAAGACATGGTTTGCCAACTGTACCCAATATAATATCCATTTTGGAAACAAAGAATGTATGTTTTTCATAAATACATGTGTGGTTTCACATTATTTAATTGCACAAAGTTATCTGACATCCAAGAATCAAATTTTGGTTACTATATTAATGTGAACTGTTGTGCATTTTTATGGAGAGGAACACAAATCTATTCTAACCTTGTGAGGTGCAGTTTTAAATTTTTATTACCATCTTGTTTTCAATTTTAGTTTACAGGTCCATTAGTAACTGTGTGGGCAGTTTAAACCAACGTTTGCAAATCCTATTCTAAATCCCTCTGTTAGACTATTCTGCTCCTAGATTGATCAGTTATCAACAACAGTCCTTTGTCCTTTTGGTCTGGCTGGTTCTGTTTGTAGTTACTGCCGGGCTATCTGCGAGGTAAGCGAACCCCTCCTCATAAGGGTGCTTTAGTTTAGCATGGATGTCCCTGTTAAGGGAAAATTCAAAATCATATAGGGATTAAATTAGGTCAAGTTCAGGTCTCTCCTAATCTTTAATTGCTATGATTCTAAACATAGATTCCAGAAAGTTGATAGGGAGAAAAGACAGATCAGTTTTCTTCAACGTAACATGGCAGAAATGGGAAAAGCAAAACCACTTTGTAATAAGCAAGGGCCCATTGAACTCACTTGAGAATATCAAATGATTTTAAAGAATACAGGGCTTAGACAGCAGATTTGTTTTTCCACTTCACCTGAGCTTGCATTCCTCACCTCATGTTTGATGAAGACAGTCAAACCTAATAGTTAACTGTGAACATTATTCTAATTATAACACCTGTAGCCAGTTGAAGTAGACATGGGCATGAGCCTCACAGGAACACTCAGCTTATTGGTTTGTAAACTGAGTCTTGGCAAAGTAAGGCAACATGGCGAGTAAGAAGCATGACCGTGGCACTTTTTGCTACCATGGTCTGTGCAATAGACATTCCTGTCGAGTGGGTCGCGTGGGCCCATCTGTACACACTCAGCTCCCAGTCAACCGTAGCTGAACCGTGGTCACAAAAGTGAGCACTGCAACAAAGATCTCTCTCTTCTCTGAGTTCCTGGAGAATTGATCATCCAGGCAACTGATCTGGCATCTCCCTGAACCCCACTGTGTGGTCTGTTCTCTTCCTCTTCATCCTTGGACGGGGCCTGCAATGGTATAGAGAGTCTCTATCTTGCCCGATTTGGTTACTGTCTAGCTATTTCACCTGAGACAAGTTATCAGCGCTTCTGTTTCCCAGAGACTTGCTTTGCAGAGCGATGTTGAAGGCTGAATGACATTGCACATGTGAAGTGTCCAGTCTTGTAGTGGGCTTCTTTTCAAAGAAAGGGCCACATTGAATGGATCTTTAAGGATCCCCAAATAGTCACTACAGAGTCTTGTAAATAATGTGAGCCTGATAACAGCTGTAATTTTCTCTAAAGCGTCATTTGTTTTAATTAAAACAGGATTGTGTTCATGAGTAGGAAATGGAGAGGGCTGATCTTCTCTATTTCAGAAACTCGAAACTCTATTTAGAGTTACTCTGTGGTGTAAGATTATTCATATCGTACAGGCATGTGACACAGTTCAGGCCCCATGCTGGGCTCTCGGCAAGGGTAGCTTTACCCTTGCAGACTTGAGCTGGCGCTTGGAGTCACTTCACAGTGAGAAATTTCATAAACTAGAGCTAACTTAGAGAAGAGTATGAACTTTTCATTATTGCTGGAATATTCTATCCTCTTTTCAAAGTGCCTGTCCAAATATTTACAGTAAGTTCCTTTCATACCTCTGTCGATAATAAATGTGTTTATTCTCTGTGAAAGGAATTTTTCACATTTTACCTCTTCCATATAACATTTAAAGGTGATATACATTTCTGAGCATTTCAGCATTGGTGATCCATATTAACATTGGAAATGTCCTTCTCAGTTTCATAAACTTGGCACTCCTGAAAGGCTGAGCAGGGTTCTGCCTTGACTCTGGGATGAACCAAGTTGTAAAAAGTTTTGGCAGGTGTGAGAATAGCTTTCCTTCTCCCAAAAATGGGGATACTGAGATGGTGGATGTACCCAGAACAGCTGTGTGGGTGCTAGGCATTATTGATTGTAGTTGTTTCAGAGAGCATATGAGATGTACATTTATTTTCTTAGCTGCTTGGAGTGAGGAATTGAGAAACCTAGTCTGCCTGCCCGTCTTTCCAGCCAGTGTGAGATGCCCCCACACAATGGGAAAACAGCTTGTACAGGGGCTCAAAGCGTGGAGGATGCAGGAGCGACCAGAATTGAATCGCCTCAGTCTTGCTGAGGCAACTGTGAGTCAGATGAGATGAGGCCTGAGAAAAAAACAGAACTGACCGATATCAATTGACCACAGATGGACTATGAAAGAAGATAATTATTTGGGAATTGTTGATTGGCAAATCAGATCATGCAGAAGGGAAGGTGGTGGTTTTTTTTTTTTTTTTTTTTTTTTTTAATTTTCTCGAATCCACCACTGTTAAGCATGTTTTCCTAAACAAGTTGTTAAGTATTTTTAGGTACACCTAGTGTCAGTACTAGTCAGGGGAAATCAGCACTGGATGAGGCAAGACTGGGTGCATTCTGATCCCATTCCTGCCTCTGGTAACTGGCTCTGGTAACTTTATTTCCTTAGTTTCCTTATGTAGGAATGTAGAATTATACTAAATGAACCTTTTACGTGTCCAACTTTATGTAATATCCACAGGACATTATTCAGCTCCAAAATTTTACTATTCGAAGTTCCTGAATATACCTAATATCTAAAGGTTAATTGAAATAGAATTCTTTGTATGCCAGCATATTTATTTCCATTGGTAAACTCACCCAGTTTTTACTTCTTCACAGATACTCTAATCTTTCTCCATGTAAGACTGCTTTTCTTCTTCCAGTTATGCTGTAAAAATAGAGTAAAAGAAATCTACACAATGTTTATATTGTTGTCAAGAGCCAAGGATCATACCAACTTGTACACTGTTGTGATAAAGTTAAAAAGCTGTGTTAAGTGCATAAGCTCGCAGTGTCAATCAACCCTTAGGAAGAAAGGGCATCTCTGATAAGGAGATTGAATCTACTAAGCCGTTAGTGGGTTGATGCTCTACCAAATTTATATTCTAGTAGATATGGTGGATAAGTAACTCAATTTTTTTCTTTCTATTCACACAATAAACATAAAATTAGCTAATTATAGGGAACCTGAGTGTAGGCAAGTTCTATATTTGCAGCACTGATTCATTGTCCTTGACACTTGTCTTTGACCACCTTACTGACCATTTCCTAGTGTCACTTTAGAAAACTGACCTGAAGTCCCTAAATTCAATGCAACATGCTGTCCGTTCATGGAGTAGGACTTGAACAATATCATGAAAAGACCCTAAAAGTAGCTTATAAATGACATTTAAAATTTTGTCATTTGCAACTGATCCTGTCATTATTGGGCTCTCTATTTTTTTGAAAGTGAAGTTGACTGCATTTGATAAGCTCAGGAAGCATCTAAAATGGATTTTCATTTGTGAATGGTAAAACTAATGTGATTGCTAATAACTGCATCTGATAATTTCAGTGCATCATTAAAAAGTCAAAAGAACATAAAAAATATACTGGCTTAGTGACCTATTGTGTACACAGAAAATCATAATACAGACTACCTGGTATGGGGTTGAGAAGATAGATTGGTGAGGTTGAGACAGGGAGTGAAGTCACACCACAGAAGAAATGGCAAGAAGACAGAAATGAGCAGAAATAGGTTACTATTCACAAAAGCCTTCTTTGCTCCAGTTTTCTCACTAGAGAAATAGAAAATAACTGCATTTGTATTTCTCACCTCTCTTATAAGCCATCCTTTGTGTGTTTGAGTAGCATAGAATGTGAATGATGAATATCATCTTGTACGATGTTCTTTGGAAGCCGGTCTGTGGATGTTTAGACAACTCTTCCTCGGAGTCCCTCTTAGGGTGCATGGGCAGGGCTGGCAGCTGACAGGCTAAAGCAGGTGCATAAAGATGGAGACCAGTAGCAGGGCCAGGAACTGGGCTGTGAGAAGCGCAGGACATCAATCAGCAGGTGCTGGTAGAGGGCACTCACTGGTTGTTGGCTGGTTGCTGAGATCAGCTTTAGGGAGCTGTTGCTTTCCATTGGTAAGCATTTTCAATCCTGGAATTTTTGCTTGGAAGCAAGTGGAATTAATGAACTGTTTACTTAAATCACCAAACAAATAAAGCATAATTAATGACAGTTTGCTTTAAAATACGTATAATAGTATATGTCTCTGTTTACCTTAGTTATTCTGAGAGCACAATTATGAATTATTCTAAGTGTAGAAGCAGAACAAGAGAAATCTAGATACTCTCTACATTGAACAGAACATCTCATATTGTCTCATTCAAGTTACTTGCAGGTTTTTTGAGGGGCTGGACCACCTTATTCCCTGAGTCTAACTCAATTCCATATAATTAATTTTCCTAACCTCTGCTCCATTTTACTTGGATGAACTGATTGAAAAAACAAGTCTGGGGCTTAAATAAGCTCTTATCCTGTAGATGTCTTAATACACATTTACCATGACTACGTTATCTCTGTGCATCACAAAGAACACTTTTTCCCATCAAGTTATACCAGTTTAGTCTGTTTCTAACAATAGGATAAGTGTTATCAGAAAGTTATTTAAATTGCTCAAAGAAGCAATATGTTTTAGAATTCTGGAACAAATGTTTTGGGTGAGTGCCACAAAAAACAATAGTTTTTAAAGGGGGTTTTGGTGGTGTTTTTGAGGTTTTTAAATTCTGGTTTTTTGTTTTGTGTTGTTCATCTTTATGTTTCTAGACGAATGTGTTTCTTTCAATGAACCCTGTTCAATAAAGCAACAAAATTTATTTCAGAAATGCTAGTCAGAATGTCCTTGAGCTTTAAAAATAGGAACAGTTCTTTATTTCTTAGATACCAAGTAATTAGTAGTAAGTGTCCTTTTCTCTCTCCAACTTCTTCTCTTTATCCCTGAATGTCCCTTTATCCAGGGAATATGGAGGATGGAATCACCATGGCATATGGAAGAGCTTACAGAGAGAACTGTGCTCTTTTCTTCCCAAGAGGAGGAATATCAAAAAAGATGGGGAGAGGAATGGCAAGGGGCTCTGATAAGCTGGGCATTGAGGCGGTGCCTGGACGACATCACGAATGAAGTGCCGAAGTTGTTTTATTGTGTCTCTTCAAGTCGGCATATATGGATCCAGAGGTTCTAATCAGACCCAAGGTCTTGACCTCTTGTCTCTACCACATCCTAGTTATATGCTTAATGTTATTACTTAATGTTATCAATTACTCATTACTTAATTACTTACTCATTACTTACTCATTACTTAATGTTATCAGTTATGAGTAATTACTTACTCATTA